CTGTTTACTCTCCTTACCTCTCCCTGTCTCCTCTCCTCTCCCTGTTTGCTCTCCTTACCTCTCCCTGTCTCCTCTCCTCTCCTTGTTTGCTCTCCTTACCTCTCCTTGTCTCCTCTCCTCTCCTCTCCCTGTTTGCTCTCCTTACCTCTCCTTGTCTCCTCTCCTCTCCCTGTTTGCTCTCCTTACCTCTCCCTGTCTCCTCTCATCTCGTCTCCTCTCGTCTCCCTGTTTACTCTCCTTAGCTCTCCTTGTCTCCTCCCTGTTTACTCTCCTTACCTCTCCTTGTCTCCTCTCCTCTCCCCGTTTCCTCTCCTCTCTTCTCCCTGTTTACTCTCCTTACCTCTTCTTGTCTCCTCTCCTCTCCTCTCTCCGTTTCCTCTCCTTTCCTCTCCCTGTCTCCTCTCCTCTCTTCTCTCTTGTCTCCTCTCTTCCCCCTGTTTACTCTCCTCTCCTTGTCTCCTCCTCTATAAAGCCTTCTTACTTATATGAGCTATAAACTGTATCATATAACTGCTTTGTTCACTCCTTTCAGCCTCCACAGCAGAGCTCATGTTTGCTGGTAACACAGAGGGCTTTGCGCTCTGAATGCTTCAGTATTTGTTGTTCCGTCTCCATGAATACCACTCCTTTCTGAAATCCACAGTTTTATCTCTTCAGACTCACTATATGAAGGTTACTTTGATGCCTTGCTCTCAGGAGAGATCGCAAACATGCTCCCTCTATAAACAATTTCCTCTGCAGTCGTCTCTGACAGCTTAACGTGGTTATTATCACCTCAACGCAATGACTTGAACTCCAGCTGCAATGATTATAGACGGGTTTCTTAGACAAATAGGACACAGAGGCTGACAAATTGTGCAAAATATCAAACCTTCAGCGTTCATTCACCCGCCCATTTATCTATAAACAGTCCCTGCTTCCATCTGCCAATCCAAGGTGGTAAAATATAAGAGTTAGGCGGTTTGCATTGTTTCCCTTAATACCACTGTTTGTCGTTGTGTCCGCGTGTGCAGGCGGAGGTCCAGACCAGTTTCGAGGAGCTGTACCGCGTGATGTCCCAGCGCGAGGAGTTCCGCTGGATGATGCTGAGGATCAAGCGCATGGCCGAGCCGTGGGTCAGCGCCATCCGCTCGCTGGCCTCCAAGCAGAACCTGGCCAGGCGACGGAGGAAGAAGGTGGGCATGTCGATATCATGACTGGATATCGATAAAGTAGTTCGCTCAAATGTATATCCTCCTAAAGATGAGAGGAAAGCTGTCAGCCTGTTGAAGGTGTACACACACACACACACACACACACACACACACACACACTTTATCCACACTTGTGGACCGGACCACTTCTGCTCAGCCAAGTGATGGCGGTGGGAAAAGGACTGACACGGATATTCCATAGCGTCCCAAGCCGGTAGCGGCTCCCGGCACTGAATAATGCACTCCGCGCGCTCCACTTGGCCTCGTGAATAATTCACATCGCATCTCCCGCGGCACCTCGGTGCCGATGCAGAGCAGCATCCCCTTAAACAAAGCGGAGAGGACAAGAGGCGAGAACCGTCATCTTGTCTATCCGCGGTATCTCGCCTCTCCTCCCTTACACTCAGTTTGTCCCTACAAGTTCTACAATTCGGTTGTTAATTAAACAAAAGTGTGCTTTTCTCTGCGAGTGCTTTCAAAGCCAGGTCTTTTTATTTCAGGCGCTAATCTCTTTCGGATAATAATCCGCACATATTAATCCTGGACTAGTGTGCCGCTCTGGGGCCGGGGGCCGACTGTCAACAATGAAAAATGCGTCGGCCACTTCAAACAAAGCCGGCTATTACTTCCTGCTCCCGCTGTGGAACACTGTGTTCCCCCTCCCCTGTGTTGTTCGTGTTTGTTGCAGATGTATTTGGTGTGCACTGTGCACCTGACCGCACACTCACAGTCCCCTACTATGATAAATATGCTTCTTACACACCGGCGTTTAAATCTTTTCTAATGCGAATCCAGCGGGGTGTCTTTGAATTATTTGTCGGAACATTTTTCTGTAGGCATTTCCTACATTGTTTTTTCAACAACAATCTGTGTAGGGAATTAAAGGTTTTCAGATGACACCGATCTCTTTTAGCTCCCTTACATGATACATTCACGCTCAACGAAAAACAACCTCATCTCTAACTGCAACTGTAGTTTAATTCCTCACTTTTCCCCCTCCTTCCATCAGATCCTGGTGCACTTGGGCCTGCTGACCAAGGAGTCAGGCTTCAAAATAGCGGAGAACGCCTTCAGCGGCGGCCCGTTGGGCGAGCTGGTCCAGTGGAGTGACCTCATCACCACGCTGTACCTGCTGGGCCACGACGTCCGCATCTCAGCCTCCCTGGCCGAGCTCAAAGAGTCAGTACCCACCGAGTGCTACAATGTTCTTTACATGTTGCCTGTCACGGGCTTACTTTTCCAAGCCAAACAGCCTGAGCCAATAATACTTATGATTGTTGTGTATCCAGATGTTCGTCTGCACAACAGATGCTTCAGGTCAGATATAGAAAATGTTTTCTTTCACGCCGACGCAGCCCTTAGTGAACAGACCGTAAGGTAAAGCATGTCGTGTAAACATCGTGTTACCATGTTTTTTTTTACATTTAGGTAAACCAACAATTGCGCAGTATTTGCTTAAGGTTATTTGACTGAGAGTAAACAAATGAGGCTGCCATTTTCATTTGTCAAACCATTGCTGTTGGTTTTTCCAGGTAGATAACGACTGTTGGGCAACTACAAACTGTGTTACAACTCAACTGGTCTTGAGGTTCTTTTGTTGTTTATGCGTTGTTTAGTTCTTAAATATTGTATCCAAAATGTTCATAGTATTTACGTATCTGGATGGAGGAGAAAAGTAATTTTTATCCCCACCCCCCCCCCCCCCCCCCCAGGATCATGCGCAAGGTCATGGGGAACAAGTCCAGCTGCCCGACCCAGGGCGACAAGGTGGTGGAGCTCATCTACATCGACATCGTGGGCCTCACCCAGTTCAAGAAGACGCTGGGACCTTCCTGGGTCCACTACCAGTAAGTACATCGACATCGGGGAAAAATACTTCCAGAGGGGTTTTGCTCAACATGCATCGTCTCTGTCCCACTGACTGGCTTTCCAATACAGCTTCCCTCACACATGCAAAAGGGGCGTTGTGTCGACACACTTGCCAGGATAAAAGGGTCTATTTTCTGCTCAAACATTCCCGCAATTTCCCAGAAGGCCGCGGTGGTTGTCTGTCTTATTGCAACGTTTTTGACTCCATTCTCTTCCTGATTGCTCCGCTGAGGACTGTTGATGAGGCCTTCTGGTTGTTTTTTTTGTTTTTTTTGGAACAAGCTCTCATCAGCGCCGACTGACAGGAAAAGAGAGGGAACAATAAGTCTGGGGGCCTCTAATGGCCCCCCTGGTTCCTCCTGCTTGTCACCAGGTTTTGTTTGTCTGCGACATAACAACTGCATCCGCTCCCTTTTGTGCCCCTGAGGAAATTGATTCAGCCTCAGGCGTCATGTAAGGTCCAGATGCTGTTCCCCCAGATCACAGAACACGTCGGATTTGTTTGCATATCAGACCCAAAGTCCCTGCAAGCAATAAATGCTATCTTTATTGGTCTCCTTTTTCTTGGTTTATTCTCCGGGTTTGCAGTGCCGAAGCAACCAAAGTCTGTCAGCCCCCCACTTGTGATTAATGTGTGTTGTTATCGCCCCGGTCTCCTGGCTATCCGTCTTACAGCGCCATATCTCTGTGTTTCATACCGCTCCGCTCTCAGCCAATGTTGCCCTGTTGTTGTATTTAATTTAATCCCTTCATCCAATAACCGAGTCGGGCGCCGCGCTCTCATCTGCATCAGAGAGGCTGCAGGAAATGTGCCAGCGTGCAGGACCAGTTCTATATTTGGTGTCAATGATGGAGAAACGAAACTCGACAAACAACAAGTTAGTCATCAGGGGCGTGTGACCACAAGTTTGATTTCATCAACTCTCTTCATTTTAGTTTTTTTTTGACACAACACAGTCTGTATGTGTTACTCTGGTGGGCATATGGGGGTGTGAGTCATGCCACTGTTCATCCTCAGTGTCGGGAGACAAGACAACAACTTGCTTCGGAGATCCTGGGAGTTTGCAAACCACACAGTGGGATGAAAAAGCCGATATAACAGTTTTGGCAAAAAAAATAGAGCCAGTTAAAATGCTACGGCGTGGCCTTGGAAGTTATGCTAGGACCGTAGTGTCTAGTTAGCCAGACATGCTAATGTTTGTCGCTCATGTTGCTGCAGGCTTTTGGTTCAGGAACAGTCACTTCAAATGACTCAAACATGTTTAAAACTTATCAAACGTTTAGCAGATATTATTTATTGCTTGATAACAGTTATAAATCAGGTAAAAGTCTATTAAGTGGAACACATTGTCCATTAATAATTTTGGTTCACGAAGAGGACATGTCATCCAAGAGTAACTGAACAATCAGATGTTATTAGCAGGATTATTAAAATAATGACATTTATTTCATTATTATACTGTTATATTTATATCACATATTACAGTGTCTATCTGAAGTTTTATATTTAACCAAACTCAGTTGTTAAAAGACACATAATTAATTCACATGTCTGTTTATCGTGCAGCTGTTGTTTAGCCTCGGGGCTTTGCCGACATAAAACAAACCTCCAGGTAGTCTCGCATGAAACACAAACTCCCAACTGATATCAGTGTTGCCTAATCACCAATACGGGCCCGTTTTATTTATTGCTCGTTTCACGCGGCGGGAGAGAAAGTTATAATTTACGACGGCTGTTGTTATACATTATGCATGTGGGATCACTTTAGGTGAATCGCATTACCGTAAAAAAACTTTGACGACAACATCCCCACTCTGCACAGCTGGATCGTGATGTCGCATCGAGTGTAACTTGGTGAGCTCGCGCAGCCTCAGCCTCCTGCCGCATCACAGCGTCCACATCTACCGGGGACAGATGAGGGTTGCTTTTTGGTTGTTTTTTTCTCCGGAGCTAGTGGAGATGGCTTGTTGTTGTTGTTGTTGTTCTGCTTTCAGTCTAAAGTTGCCGAACGGTGGATGTGTTTCCCAGCTCTCTGCCAGGGCCTTTCCCAGATCACCCAGACAGCTGCTGTGCAGCTGTCTGGGTGATCACTAAAAGAGGGGGGGAGTTTTTAGCTAGTTTCCTACGATTACATTAAGATTAACGAGTATTTTAACTCAACTTAATTGTATTCAGCCACAATTAAATACTTTTCTTCAGCTCAAGATGGCCTATAAATAGGGTCATCATTCTAGGATTTTGTAGGAGAAACATAAGTGGACAAATTGGGATTAATAGCGTGAGATGGAGGGACAGATTGATGTTAGCTTTCCTTCCTTCCGTTTCTCTTCTTAATTGTTAAAAACATAGATAATGAAGGACACGGCCGACCACACGTGGTCCGACCGGCGTCTAGAAAAGAGAAGTGAGTAACAATGAGCGAGTGAGTGAATGCAGCGCAAAGGAGTTTAAGGTCATGAGCGAGCGGGTCCCTCTCCTGGCTGTGGTCCACTTAATGCTGTGACCTTTGTGTCAGCCATGTTGTTCATTCACAGTGTCACTCGTCCACAGGACAGGACTTCACCGTCTCTCTGTCTGACAGTCGAGGCGCTGTTTTGATTTTGTGTCTAATAAACAATGTTTTTGTGTCTCTGCACACATTATGAAAGACATTTAAGACATTGGTACGGTGTATTTAGTTATAGCTCAAATGACATTCCTTCAACATTAATACGACAAAAATGCTAAATAGGATTTTTGTTTTGTTTTATACCAATAAAATGCTCCATTCCACATGGGATTACCTTACATACAATAATACCACATATGAATAAAAATTGAAATCATAGCTGCAGGCTGTTCATTATGAATGGAAACACAATAGAAAAGATGCATTCTCTTTGTTTCTTTGACAATCTTCCAACCAAAAAAACAAAAAGCCTTTCCACTTCTGCCGATCAAATCCCTTTGATTGAACCAATACAAAACACACCTGGACCTGTCATCGTGTCATGCCCTCCTTCTCCTGTCCGGGTCAGGTTGACTGATATTTGTCTGGGCAACGTTCTGTTTATCTTTTAAACATCAAAGTAACCGTTTGTATGAGGTCTCGTACGGTTATTCTACAGCATCATCTTGATATTAACAACAGAAAAAGATATAAAAACATTTCATTTTTTGTTTGATACACAAATACAAATAACAAATGATGTAACTTGAGGCTTATTTCTTGGACAACTTTCGCTTCAGCTACACTCTAATTGTGTGAACAGTTTTTTCTTCAAGCCCATAATATCAACACTGAGTGTGTGGGTACAGAGATGATTTATAAGGGTGTTTGCAGGTTTCATTGATTTCACGAGATTCAAAAAGCAAACTTCATTGAAATAAACGACTCGTCATACTGGCGTGGAGCGGCCATTAATACTCTTCTCTTTTGTGTGACGTCACAGGTGCATGCTGCGGGTGCTGGATTCCTTCGGTACGGAGCCCGAGTTCAATCACGCCCACTACGCCCAGTCCAAGGGCCACAAGACGCCCTGGGGGAAGTGGAACCTCAACCCGCAGCAGTTCAACACCATGTTCCGTAAGTCGGCCAGACGCCAATGCGCACTCACTACAAGTGTCAAACGTCACAAATGGACTAGAATGCTTTAGCTCTGGGAGTTAAAAAAATATATAAAAATTGGCTCAACTGCGGCGTGAGTGCAGGATTTAAAAGAGAACTTGTCTGTTTTTTTTTCATCCTCTGACTCAACAAGTCGAGAAAACAAAAAGAACCCTGATCCGTCCAAAAAGTGAAACACTGCTGCTTGCAGTATAAATCATTTTTCCCATCATCACACCCTTGTTTGTCTCCTACGTCTACAGTGACAGTTCTTTTCTCCTATGAGTGAGATGTTTTGGTTGGAAAAGAGGCATAAATGAAAACCCAGCGCGTTGCTAATGGAATATGATCGAGCAGATTAAAGGAAAGTACGAGGTCAGACACTGTAATCATGAACGTAGGGGTTTTCTTGCTGTGTGTGTGTGTCACTCCTGCCGTAAGATCACTCTGTAACTGGAGTCAACGGCGGCGGTAAAGCAAGGGAGAGAGAAAGAGAGGGGGGAGCCGGCCCCCTTGGGGTATTGACCTTTTCCCCGCAGCGGAGAGAAAGTGAAATGTTACCCCCGCGGTCTCCGCTTGCGAGGTGAGGCCTGGCGCTACCCAGAATGCCGCGGCACCTGAATGGGCCCTTTGTCCCCTGAATAGGGTATGTCTTTCTCTCAGCACATTGGGGCCTTTGCACGAAATCCAGTGAAGAGCCGCGAGGTTAGATGATATCGCCGGTGAAACAAGTGCACGGTGGTTCGGTAGAGTGTTAAAACCGCAGATTGGCATCGCTTCCAGGCACGAGAGACTAGCTTTTTGTTATTGTCCTCCCCCTCACACCTTACCTTCAGTCTAAAGAGCAGCATGTGTGCCGTGCAACTTTAAAAGAGTATGAAGTTAATAGCTCCAAGGGTGAGGAAGTAGATATCTCAGCTTTGTGATTGTAATCAGAGCGTGCACAAATAATATTTGAACAAAAGGTTTGTGAATGTGAGCAGGTGCTTCTGTCAGCTCGGATTTACAGTGGGTGACGCTCGTTAGAGGTTTTCGGACACGTCCACATTGGTTAGACGCCCAAGCCTCTCCCGCCCAGAACACGCTTGAGAGTCGTCGTTCTCAAACTTCCTATGTAGAGCCCCTGGTCTTTGATTTGCATTAAAACTCACCTACTGAATGTAGATGTAACATGTAAATCAGGTCCATTTGTTATAATTAGGCAGCGCTCTATAAATCCTTGGTCAGAAGTGCGTGGCCTCTGGCCAATAAGACAAGACGAGGCCAAATTGACCCCATTAATCTATCTCTGAGGGGGGATAGCAGGGAGTGTTTTGTGGTGCACAGTTTGTGTTTGAATGCCTGTGTCTTAGCTGAATTTGCTCCGTCTCACAGCACAAGTCATTCATAATCAGGGGAGCTGAATTGCAAATATGAGAAGTATCTTGTAGGTCACAATACCATGAATTCAAGTCCTGCCAAGTGTAATTTATCAGCTTAAAAACAAGCTTTTTAACACAGGGCTTTGGTCTGGGACCTGACTAGCGACAGATATATCCAGACTTTTTATCAAATCTGTCCTTTCATCGAGATATATGGTACACGTGGCCGAGGGAACATCTTTGGTCAAGCGGCTTTCTTTAAAGCCCCCGCCGCAGGTTTCCCCGTGTGTTTCCCCGCAGCTCGATGCTTAATCCCTCACAGAAATGATGATTAATACCGGTCAGAGGTGGGACATGGCAGCAGATAGTATTTATCTTTGAGGCATTGCCAACTACGTAATTGACCCCTGAGATCTACCCGGGCCGATAGCGGCTGTAAGGCTTGATTGATAATGTCGCTAGCTCACCCGCTCATGAAAGGCTATCTTTATTTTCAATGTGCGTGGGATCAGTAGGCTGATGTCCTGTTGTCTCTCTCTGTTGTGTCCCTCACTCTGTTGTGTCCCTCACTGTGTCTCTCACACGCCTCACTCACCGTCCAAAAGCACAAATCTACTTCCTTTTTCTGTGTGGCCAGCAGTATAGAAGTTAGTTTCTGCATTTTTAAGTGTTGGGCCTACATTAATCACATAATCCCCAGTCCTCTGGTGTCTTTTCTTGTGCAGGTACCTCTACCGCTGATTCAGTGAGACTTTCCTGCTCCTTCTTAAAGGGCACACAGGAAGTCCATAAACGGTCCCTCTCACCCTGTCAGAGGAAATATTCTGCCCTTAAGAATGTTACCGACATTCCCCCCACTCCGGTTCCTCCACTCAGCTTGGCCAGGTTGTACTAACAGACAGGGCGTAAACAATGAGGACGTCTGCAGTTTGGCAACGGAAGTAAGGCAGAGTGCAACAGCTTGTCAGCTATGCAAGGGCATTAACCACCAAAGATGGTTATCCAAACACAGACATTCTAGAGCCGTGTGAGATCAGAGAGTGGGTACAATGCATTAGCAAGTGGCTAAAATATTTAGTTTACAGATGTGTTCGTGTATTTGGTGAAACCTAGTGTGTGACGTTACACCAGCAAGACCACGTTATCTGTGGTCATGTACAGAAAGTCAAGTACCACTCCAATGGTAGTCAATGCGATTAATAGAAGCCATAGACGCAGCCAGTGTTGCGGTTTAACGGGTGACCGTGCTAACTGGTGACTCTTAGTGTCCAATAGAACATGTAGGTGTCCTGGTGAAAGCCTACAATCAATGTTAAATACATACTCATCTGTGTTTATTATCTACGCCAACTGTTTTCAGAAGTTGCTACGAACAACCATGGACGCATTTGGCCGAGAGTCACAAGTTAACACAGTCACTCGTTTAACCGGAACACCGCTTTATCTGAAAATGTCTCGATTCTGCAGAACTGTTGGATTCTAACAAGTGAACGCTCAAAAACCAAAACCAGACATGTTAACAGTTTCAATTCAACGTTTAAAGCTCGCCAACTCGTCCGGATGGCTGGTGACAGAAAACGCCACTTCTGTTGCCAGCATGCGCTCGCATATGTTTGACGAGGTTTCAAGGTTTCATTGACTCCCAGTCCAACAGAGTGACCCAGACTTCCTCACAAGCTCGTCGAGAGCGACAAATCAGCTGCTTCCCCCCGGCGATGCCGTCCTCCCCGACTGTTTGTCAGCTAACAGCAAATGAAGCTGCGGCACACTGAGTGACATTTTGAGTGGCGGCTCTGGTGGGAGACGAGGCATCTGTTGCCAAATGCATCTAAAAAAGGGCCGAACCCTAATTAAGTGCCTGTCCTGTTTACACAGTTAGTGTTGGTGCCGCCTCCTCCCGGGGTCTCGGACCGTCTCCACAAACACATCTCGCTTATCAGCGAGGTTTTGTTAGTGCAGCCGTTAAGACTCCACTGTGCCCCACCGACCCCTCGCACAGATCTGGTGATATCTTCATAACATCTGCCCCCACATTCCTGTGCTCTCCTACACACACACACACACACGTGACGCAAAGCGAACAAACAGCGCTCGGCGGGTACAAGGTTCCTCTGTGCGCTGTAATGCCGGGAGGTGCGGCAAAACCGGATACGCGGTGTGGAGAAGAGAGAGTGCGGCTCTCTGCCCGGAGAAAGAGCTGCACAGCTCATCAGCATATGTCTCACTGGACATGTCCAGTCAGGACGCTGAGAGGAAAAGTGTGTCAGTTTCATATGTAAAGTATGAAAAACAAGAACTGTGATGAGCATCTAACAAACATTCCACTAGTTATTTGATAAGTACAAGGTCGTGCATTGTTTTAATTGTTAGAGGAGAAATTAGTCTGCACATTTTCACCATTGTTCAATTATTGCTTTGTCTGGTGCCGGGCTCATTTCCTGCTCCCTGTTCCTTTTCTTCTTTTCTTGTTTTATGTTTGGCCAAAGATATTTAGCTGGAGCCAAATGTGTGAACTGCCTGGAGAGATGGAGCGAGCAAACATTGGCTTTTTTGTCGAGCGGGGTGTGTTGGGGGAGTAATGTCACATTCTAGCCAACACCCTGATTAAGAACGCGTTTGTCAAACTACTACGTCATTGTTTCTGCTCTATCATGATATCATGAATCATGATAGAGCAGATTTCAGTGTCATGATTCATCCTCTATTATCACATAAGGTGGGATCGGTCCAGAGGATGTTTGCAGAGTTTAAATGCCGGCATGTTCCTGATCCCTCTTTTATTTACTTTACTGAAGCGAATCCCATCTCCCTCTGACTGACTGACCCTAATTTGCCTCTCTAGTAATAGCGGTGTGGTTAAAAAAAACAAAAAAAAAAAAACACAAGCCCCGACCACAGCAGCTCCCCCCAGGTGCTGACACAAACCACAACTGTGCACCAGAACACCTCCCGCCTGCTTCATTCGCTCCAAGTGAGTGACGAGGTCGGCGTTTCATTCTGCTGCACTTTTCCTGAATTTGATTATTAAGCATGTCAGGGTGTTTTTTCCCCCAACTGAATCTTTTCTGCCCGTGCTCGTCTTCACAGTGCATTTACGAGGCAGATGGCAGTGAGGTAAAGAGCTGCCAGCTTTTCGGGCTCCGCACTTGACCTGCTCCTCTCGGTTGTTCCCATAGTAACAGGCAAAAAGGAACGGAGGGAACGACTCTCAGAACCGTGATCAGCGCTAAACACACATGTGTAAGATGTATTAAAGACACTTAAATGAGGCGTCTGATAGCTTTTAACTCCGTCTTTGTAATCCTTGAGAGGCAAGAATTTTTATACATGTCTTTATTTTTTGTCTGCAGCTCACACCCCAGACAACAGCTTCCTGGGCTTCGTGGTGGAGCAGCACCTCAATGCCAGCGACATCCGGCACATCGACGACATCAAGAGGCAGAACCAGTCGTTGGTCTACGGCAAGGTCGACAACTTCTGGAAGGTACTATCGCCCTTTGATGGCCGAAACATTTGCGATACCACCGACGCACATTTGTCGGGTCATACAAGTGCAAACCAGGTCGGGAATCAAAGGTTTCCACCCACAGAGACGTCCACATTCTGTACTCTTTTCAAATACTTCTGACACACACAATCTACCCTTGGATACATACCTGCAGATGAAAGGGACAGACAGGGTGCGCACTCTGCAGTGACATTCTTTGAACAACCTTGGGTAAAAACTTTCACGGGTAGAAACCGCTTTTAGGAGCTCAAATTCAGCTCATCGCCCTCTCCATGAAGTTTTTCTAATATATTCAAATGCATGCTCACACTGCGGCACAGAGACCGAGGGATTACTGTATCCCAGACACACACAAAAAAGACGACTCCCAGACTTGGAGAGATTTGCTCATTGTTTGGCGTGCCAGGGCTGCTTTGGGGATTACTGGGCCTTGATGAGCTTTCTGCCCGACACCGCGTACATTTCAGAGCGGGTTCGGCCCGGATCCGACTGACTGATCTCTTTCTCCAGACGTCTGACGGAGGAACTCGGTGGAACGATAAGAGACGCTTGCGAGAGAGAATTGATTTTGCGTGACGTGCGCGCCGCGCAAAAATGCCGTCTTACATGAGGACGCCGCATGATTAAGAGGTGTAGGATCGAATAAGCCGTAAATGATCTGCAAATACCGTCATGTCAGCCAGTCAGGATTCCTTCCACCTGGCTTTACCTGACTTCACAAACTCATTGGCTTTACATATGAGCAGAGAGGAGATCAGCATCCGGATCAAGGGCACCTAAACTTTCCCTTGGATGAGTGTTTGTTTGTTCACTCACACGTCCATTTTTCAAACTTGAAACCTTTGTTCTGAGTGAATAATCCACCCAGAGGCCGTTTAAACAGCACAAGGAAGTGTTTGAAAGTACAAGTGGAATAGGAAAACATTACCAGCAACACAGTCTAAATTTAGAAGTTAATCTAAAACATATTCATCTGAATTTCAAAGCTACATTGTAAGGCTCCAACTCCAAAGGTGTATTCGGTTTCTTTAATCCACAGGTAGCTGCTGTACTTTATGGCTTTTAGCACCGAGTCAGAGAACACACAGCAGTCTAGCTTTAAAAGGGCAGACGAGGAGGGGGGGCATCGGCTCACAGCAAGGGGCATTAGTTGCCAATCAGACTCCCAAGCGTGTTCATTACCTCCTGCTTTTAATTAAAGGGCCATTCTGGAGCCGACTGATAACGAGCTTCCTCCGTCTTCCCTCCTTCGTCCTTTTAAAACGCTCTCGATCTCTTTCTCTGCACTCGAGAGGCTTCAGTTCAACATGATACGTCCCCTGTTTGAAATAGAAACCGGGAACCTCTTTAAGAAATCTATTTCTCTCACAATGGAATCATATTCAGGATGTGCGTTTAATTAATTAATGATCTGAAGACTCACCAACGAACACTTGAGCAAGGCGCAGTCAGCTTTTTAAAATGAGGCAATCTAAATAAATCTCCTTTCAGCCCCGATACCGTCACTGGACCTGCCCCCCCATCTTCCACTCTTCTTTACCTACGCTGTTGTTTAATGTAACTTTTAGCCAATACAAGTTTAATCTTAAATTAAAAGAAAAATAATTCAGAAATAATGGAAAATTAGTGCTTTCTTGACAACCAATGCAACTCAAACAGGAAGTGCTCCACTAAAGCAACACATGCAAAGGCCAGCCTCTCGATAACGGCCCCCTAAAACCCAGTTCTTGTCTTTTTCAAAAAGCTTCTTGTACTACATCCTAATAACAAAGTTTATAACGTCACATGTGGGCCTTTTTTATTGTCTGCTTTACAGACATCATAAAGTAAATGAAAAGAAACTTCAGGCTAGATAAGATTTTACAGACTTTGGAACCCGCAAGCGGAATTTCCTATTTATTTTCCCTTTATTGAGCTGTAAACTCAGAAACTCTGGACGTTGAAATGTGTGGACCAAACCCGGACACATCAGAGAGCCCGAGCCAGCGTTGTTACAGAAGGTATTCTGTAGCCGAGCGCCTTTAATTTGGAGGGGTTAATGTGGGTAATGGTCTCCCTGTCGAAAGGCCCTCTCTCTCCGCCTGATCAGTATGAAGAGGTGCTCGGGTCGCTCTCATCCCACCAGTGTACGGAGCGACCCGGTGTGTGTGAAGCAGACTGAGTAATCACCCGCCCACACGCATTCTCTCATTCAGACACTTTTTTTTAAGGGCTAGTTTTATCAACACCAGCACCACTGGATGTCAAAGGGAGAAACAATGATGGTGACGCGTAGCAGATGCTTTGGAGTTTCCTTTTCGTGAGCACAAAACAGTCTCATTTGGGATTATTCATATTCATAAAACGGGACCGGCGAAATCCTGGGGATGAAGCACCAGGATGGCAAGTCATTATCTTGCCGGTGAGACCCGAAAATAAAATGGCCGGACCACCTCTGAAGGAGCCGTTTCCATAGCAACCCAGTTGGAGTCGGAGGAGTGGAAAGGCAGAGCAAGGGAGAGCCTTTTCTCTCCATCTGTACACACACATACTCTACAAACAGATATTACAAAATGAAGTATTAAATATATTTCCGTCACTCTGTCTCTATATCTTAATCTACATCTCTCTAACTGGTGCAGGTTGAATTACAGAAGCCACCCCATCGGTGCAAGACGTCTCCATTAAATCGGTCAGTGTCCGTATTTGTCAGTGTGCTAGAAAGCATTTGACGAGGCAGAAGGGAAGCATGGAGAAAGGTGAGAATGAGTAGGAGTTAGAGAGCCGCAGATCAGAGGACGTGATGAAGAATGACAAACCGCACATAGCTGACAGGGACACACACACACACACACGCACCGAGCTGGCGTATGCAGAGCAGGGCAACAGTCCCACACTCCTAGCCTTGCAGGCTCATAAACACAACAATGTGTTGCAGCCCCCTATCATGATTGATAACCGAGTTGAGTTGAACATTAAACCGTCTTTAGTTGTTGCCGCGCTTGTCTGATCTGATGAAGCAACCCCTCGTGTTGTTAAAGTGTCCGGAGTGGCAGGCTAGAACCCTGAATTTGACGTTTGCTGGATCGGAGTGGGGAGATGTTATTGCGGTTATTGAATCGACTCCTCCTGTCACGGATGTTTTATTGATTTAGGCTCAAGATATTTCCAACTAGCTGAACGAAGTTGAAGTGTCAATTGGTCAAAGAAAGAAGCCAAAGATTCAGTTGATTCAAGCACTGAAAGGAGTTGAAATGTCCGTTGTGTGTCGGTCATAAATTGAGATGGCTGGGTCCCGAAAGAAATGAACCACTTAAAGTGTATAAACCGAAAGCAGATTTGAAGTGTTAGCTGACGTGTAAGCACTGTAAGCAGTTGCAGTGGGTGTGAACGGTGTGGGACTTGCAAGAAGGTTTTATTGTAGTTCAAAGGTGAGGATCTGAGCCCTGAAAGGGTGCGAAGTCTCAGTTGAAGTATAAGCATTAAAGGCCGATAAACTCAGTAATCGAAGAGGTAAAAGCAGTCAAACTGTTAGTTGACAAATAAGTAACCAGGAATGATGAATCATGATGAGTCATTGCCCCTCTCTTATCTGGACACGCTGACCTCGTCTTGATTCAGAACGACCCCGAAGTGTGTTCTGTTCCATCTACTTCTTCTACGAATTTATTGAGCACAAGCAGGACGAGCGACATGAACGTCAACGCCGCTTTCTTCACTGATCATTCACACAAGCAGTAAATGAATTATCCAGATTTATGAGGGATGCAACCAACAAATGCGAGAGCACGTCGGGAAGTAAAAACAAGATCAAGTGTAGCAGCTACGACAGAGCAACAATATGTAAAAATACTCATGGCCTCTGCTTTTAATGGTTACAGGTGTTGTTAATGGTTACAGACGTTACAGGTGTTCCCATCTATCATAATATACCTGCTGCATGTGTGTTTTTTAATTTATTTCTCTTTAACTGGGCCTGTTACACTGAGATGATTACGCTGCCCACGTATGCGCATTAGGGACACGCATTACATCGATCACAGGGCGCCTCCTCTACTTTCTACATGCTCTGGCCGGCCACCAAACTCCAATAGGATACACACCGTTATGTGTAATGGGGCGTGGGAGGGCGTTGAGGTAAATAACATCTCCTGACTGCACTCCAAGCGCTTCAGGATACTACTTACCACCCATGTTCCCCTGGCGGTTCTCGGTATCCGTCTAATGGGTTTTTAAAGTGCATCCGTTCAGGTGTTTGTTTACACGTGCGTCCGTCAGAAGTCTTTTTAAATGGGACTTTTGTGATGGGTCGATAGTGGTCGGATATATTTCGTGGTCAAAACGAGTGGCAGCTGTAAAACGGTGGATTAACCGACTTCATTTCCTATAAATTCCTAAATTATAAATAAAAGTCCCCTGTTATTTTTCGCTGCTCACTCTTCTTCCCTGCAGTGTCAGAAGACAAGGATTAGAAGAGTATTTTTATTGAAGAATAGCCGCTAACAAAGCCATGCTAATTCAGCCATAAAACACATTTAATACGCTATGAATTCTTTTATACTGAAGCAACAAAATGAGGAAATGTTGGGTTTTCATCAGCAGTAACTCAACAGGACTCAGACAGCGAGTATCAGCTGGAATCCAGCTACATCCTCTTTAATGCATTGTATAACTCATCACAGTTTTTCCATAATAAGCCTATGTACACACACGTGATCAATGTGCAATACTTGATGTTTCGAAATGTCAGTTTTCAGAAAAACGGTTGCTGAGATAGAAATGGAATTGATGATGATTCAGAGTACTCGTGTGCAAATCACAACACTTGAAATGAACCACGAACGTTATTTCTGACCGGCTCAACATTATGACATCACTGCAGAGGTGTGTGTGTTTTTTTTCTCTGAAGAATGGGTGGAGTGAATTTTCCAGTTTTGGGCTCCCAGAGTCTGTCAGTTGGATATTATTTCGGATGGGAAGACGATCAGAGGTGCGTTTGATGTCCAAAGGCAGTTTGAATAAATAGAACCAGGTGCATCTGTCTGCATTGCAATGAGGCAAAAAGCTCTTTTTCGTCTTTTGAGGTTACTGCAGTAGACTCCGAAACTATTACGCTGATGAGGAACATGAGGAATGAACACGAGGGAGACAGAAGTGGATGAATGCGGACGGACAAGTGGATTGTTTCCGTTGAAATGTGCAGTGAAGCGTCTTGACATCACTACATGTCAAGAGAAAGCGCTGAAACATCAAAATCTGCTCTCAGGCCTGCAGCTCTGCCCCGAAACAAACGTATAGAGAGACGTTCATAGTAAAAGGCTGCTGCAGACTCGCTAATCAGGCTTGTTGCTTTATTATATATATATTTACACAGAAGGGAGGGTGAAAATAATAAAGATAATAATCAGTAAAAGGTGCTGTTGTGAAGGACATTCACAGAGCTTTCATTAATTAGCTCTGCGGTACATTGAATAGCTATTCTGTGATATCAGCTGGTTTCAAACAGTGAACCTAACATGCATTTGTTGCAACGTCTGACTCATTTATTGTTAATAAACGGAGTGCTGTAATGCTAGCAGTCATAAAAAGGGGATCATTAGCAAGTTAGCTGTTGGTAGCAACCTTCTTTACCTTTATTTCCTGGCTGTGTGTCTGTCAGCCTGTGAGCTCTCCTCCCTGGACACCCATCCCTCTGCCAACAGCAAGCAGCCGCCACCGCCTCTCCTGTTTCCTCTCCGAGCCGGGGTTTACAAATTCCCTCTGATTTACAAGGTCATAAAACTCTCCTCCTCCTCCTCCTCCTCCTGCTTCAATCAACCTCTCCAGCTAAAGCAGCTATTTCCCCGAGCACGTGCTCCCGTACAAGGCTGCCGCAATCGATCCGCTTCCTGGTTTCAGATTGCTCGTTGCATGTGGTCGGAGACACGCAAGGATCCACGGGGGCTGTCCGAGGACGCGGAGGGGGAATAAACTGTCCTGTGATGTTTACGGTCTGTCTTCACACCAGTTAGTGTTACTGACGCGTAACTTCTTTTCACAGTGTGCTGACAGCCAAGACGGGATAATGAACTGCAAAGAAAATCCACAACAGATCTAAAAATGACAACATGTTGTCCTACTTCTGTATTCCTGTCACGCGTTTCCAGCAATTGGGATTTTTACATCTCTCAACGTGTTTCTAGGTTGTTCTCTATTCCATCACAAGTGTGCGTGTGCGTGTGCCTCTGCATGACCATGCTCCAGAGAACACCGGGCGAGTGATGCCCTCTGACCGTGAAGCTTTGTGTACGGCAGCGACTGCCTGGAAGGGTCGCGGCAATCTACTGTATGTTCCTCTTCTGCACATAAACACACACAGACAGCCACTCAAGCGGTCATAATACACACACCACACACACCCTGCTGTCTTAAGAGACTTTAGAATGTCTTTACTTTAGTAATGCGTTTGTTTTCACTCCAGAATCGAAACGAGGTCAAGAGGTGGACTTCAAAATGTGCGTGTCAGACGCTTTTTGCATATACATTTGCATCAGCTGATGTAAAAGTGGAACAACTATCTTAAACTATTCAAAAATATTAACATGAAGGAATTATTGTGTTTTTTAGCCTCACTTCCAGACGGGTAAACATGTAAAACATATCAGTAACAACAGTGTTTACTGATCCTTTTCTTTTCCGTCACTAAGTGCGGACGTCTCAGCTCTTCTTTTTTCATTGGCTTTTTCTCATCTCATGCACCACCTTCTATAGATGTTTAGTGTGTGTGTCTGCCTACCTGCAACCTTCATTTTTAAATCCCCTCACACACACACATGCACATAAATCCTAGCTCAGCTCCCCAGAGTGAAAAGATTACAGGGTAGTGATTTCACCTTCTAATTAGGTCTCACTCTCTCACTCTCTCACTCACTCACTCACTCACCAGGCTGCTTTAGTTACAGCAGGCTGGCTGGAGGCATCTGATAGCCGGGCCTCCAGGGACTCTGATGAGCAGCTACCTGAAATTTAAGCCCCAAAAGGAAGCACTGAGATAGAGACACACACACGTCCATGAGGCAGTTTCAAAGGCTCGTGTGTAGGAGTTGTGTGTGAGTTTGAAACAGGTAGCCTTTAAAAATAATGGCCTTACTGCCCCGTCAGTGTTGAAATTATTGGTAATCGATAATATTCCAGTATATGTGTGTGTGTGAGAACGTACTGAGAAAGGTGCCTTTGAGGCATTCTGTCGTTGTGGAATAAACGGCCAGCTTTCATCTACACTGCCTCCCTGAAGAGCTGTGGTTCCACTGCGTACCCCACTACGGCTCAAAAGGACGGGTTTTTGCGCTGCGTTTTGGGGCAGGAGACACGTGAACGTTCTGTGTGCAAACTTGGCGCGGTTGTGCGGCAGTCATGTCCTCGTTTTTGAAAATCAAAGGCCTGCTGTAACTCTCAGCGTGGGGACCATCAAAGGCCTTTTAATGGAAGCTCCTGCGGGGCGCCTACGACCAAACTTGACAGCGATCGCCAGGAAAACTGAAAAGAGGTTTCAAGTAAACACATCACAGGCCGGTCCAAGAAACTATTGGCCTGATGTTTCAAGTCGGTCGACACTTTTAGGGGACGCCATTATGAAATTTTACGATTTTTGCTGCACGGTCTGCTTAAGCCCCAACTCGCGCAACACCCTGGAGTCACTATTAGTACTTTACAACATCTTCTATATCATTTGCATTTCTGCCTCAGTGCCGGCTGGACGGTCACCACCCGGACAGAATTCTTAATCCTGCAAACACGTGAGAATGCAGAGGCAAAGTGCAACCGCTGCAGTCAAGTCTGGCGAACATTGAAGGTGCCCTCGAAGATGAAAGCGCACTGTTTGGCAGAAAGAGATATACTATTAAAAACATCTATTTTGTGAGCATAAAAATAGTTTAAAAAAAAGATGATCACTTTCGACCTCACTGGGTTTTTGCCACGGCGGATATAATTTAAACAGATTGATTGTCAGCAGGGTAGCGTTGGACTTGACTTTTGGTTTAAAGGAATCGGACCTTTCTGACGGATCAGGTAGACTTTAAACAACAGCAGGGTATCGTGTGCACCGATGCTCCTCGTACAGGGCTATTTTTAGCTCCGCCTACCTTTGTGGCCAGATGATCAGTCAGGTAGCTCGAACAAAAGTTCACCGGGCCATATAACAAAAGTAATGATCCTGATCCCCTCTCAAAAAAATGTAATCCAGAATGGTTCACTCCAGGACTCCACTGTGGTTTCCTGGAGGATTTTGGTTTGTGGACCTCTTTTAATAAAAAAAACCTGAATGTTTCTCCCCGTCTGTTCCAGGACAAAAAGAAATACCTCGACATCATCCACAGCTACATGGAGGTCCACGGCACCGTGCACGGCACCAGCACCGTGCACCTCCCGAGCTACGTCAAGAACCACGGCATCCTGAGTGGCCGAGACCTGCAGTTCCTCCTCCGAGAATCCAAGGTGAGACCACCCAGCAGTAAATTATCTCGCCCGGGAGAAAAAAAAAATGGCCCCTCGGGGAAATAACAGTGTCAGGGTACGGTGCTTATTAGACGGCCGAGAAAGCCACAAACCGACTCCCACGCTTTTCCCTGGAACTGTGGCCCAGCTAACCTGCAGAATATTAAGGAAACGCTGTATCTCTTCACAAACCACGGCCTGTTTGTCAGTGCAAAGGGCATAAAAACCTGCTCTGAACGTTCCTGTGATGGTAATCACTGTGTGAGACACTTTTTTTGAATGAAAAAGTGGGGATTGCTCAGATATAACAGATTTACAAAAGGCAATGTTGAGTAACATAAGGCCTATCGACCCACTTATGTCTAAATACAAAGAGTAAGTAATAACTGAAGCACATTTAAGTGCAAGTGAATAAGAGTAAAAAGTTCAACTTAGATTAAAGAGACGTTGGATGTTGTTTGGAGAAAAGACTGTCTTTGTGTGACTGGAGGCCTTCTTCTGAAAGAGGCAGGTTGTAGTTTGTCTCAGTCCTTCCACAGAAGCACTTCTCCATTCACGTCAGGACTTGTCTCCTCCTCTCACCACTCAAACCGCTCTTATCCACAAAGCCACAGAGACCGAAGTCAGGCCGGGGTTGTACAGCACGGAGCGAGCTCTCGGCGAGACACTTTGCACGGTCACTGAATGTGTGTCGAGCTGTTTCACACAAAATAGCTTTGTTATGCGGAGAGCATGTCACCTCGAACTGACGTAAGACTCTCTGGTATGAATCCTTTACTTCTTAACTCTGAAGCTATTAGAACAGAAACAAAACAAGTAATGCAAACTTATGTAGTTGTAATTAACGCCTGAAAACCCACTCAAAATTCCTCATAATTTAGCAGACAACCGTTGATTTTTCCAGCTGACGCTAGCCATTTGTAGCAGCTGTAGCAAGCTAGCTAATTAAGCTAGCATTATCTCCATAAGCTGGTTGAAAGTTCTGTCTCTAGCTAACTTTTTAAGGCTTCACCATGTCTCATTTGAATGCTAGAACCCTAAAGGGCTCCAGGATATGGTGCTAAAACACCGAGGCTAAAACTGCACACTCGAGGCAAAACTTGATGATCCACATAGAACAATTGGAAACAAAGCAACCACATTGTTTTAGTATTGCAGTGTAGAACTAGTTAGTCCATGTTGTATGAGTATGACAAGCTAACGTAAGGCCTTCTTGGGTATAGCTAGCTAGGGCTCCCCAAATCCAATTAAGAATGAAGTTGCTATCTTTAGCTGATAGCGTCCAAGACCGGCTTCCAAACAGTGAGGAAATACTGCACAACAAATGTCGCTCATCAACCTGTAACACTACAAACTAATGCAGTTGGTTAATGATGTGCTCCTCGGCCTTGGAGCTATCGCTAGGTTACTACTGTGGGGAGTGAATTTCATTAACTTTTATGGAGCTGCCCGTTGCCGTAGGGGGAATGAAATTAAAATGACATGGTCTTCAAAAAAAAAAAAAAACTGCCAGCAATGTCTGCTGAAGGTGAAAACCATCGTTACTGCTGGCTTTGAAAGATGGAGTCTGTCTTTTGGCTCCAGTCGGCAGTGAGAGGGAGCTTCGATTTCTTTCGCCTCTGAAACCAGATGCCTTCTCATCAGAGGAGAGGAGAGGCAGACATCAGACATTCCCAAGTTCAAAAGAGCCACAGATCACAGTTCAGACGGTTCAAGAGAAAATGACGGAGTGAGATTTAAACCCCTTTTTTGTGGCGAAAAGATTCTCAACATGCTACGCCTGGCTGTACAACCGAGGACTTGGTGATGTCGGAGGCGCTGACGGAGGAAAGCTAAGGTGTATTCAGCAGTGGAGCAGATCAGTGAAGTGTTGAAAAGAACTTGCTGAAGACTAAAGGGGAGCAACACTCACACGATCTCAGATGTGCTGGATTGCAGGTTAACTCTCACCGCATAAACTCCCACATCCTCTCATTGCGCGCAGGTTCTGCGTGGAAAACCCCAAAAAGGGGGGGAACGGCCAATTAATTCCCACGAAAGCCCAACAGTTTAGCCACGGGAGAACGGGAGGCGGTGTAGGCCCGGCTTTCAACGCGCTCACTGTTGCCTGCAGTCAGACTGCCTGAGCTAATTGGCCTCGCAGGGTTTAGCTATTGACAGAGCGGATTGTGAAAGCAGTGCAGAGGCGCTTCTGTGAAGAAGAAGAAGAAGAAGAAGAGGGTTTTGTTGTTGGCATCTGACCTTTTGATCTTCCCCCAAACTGAATTTCCTGAAATAAACTCTCGACACGCTGCTTTGTCAAACATTGTCAATGATCAAACCGCTGAAGAGTGGGGCAAACCTTTAGAGCGTCACGTCGCATGTTTTTACTTTCTTCTGACGTCGCTTCTCTTCCGTTGCGAGTACCGACTGTCTCCGTTTCTTATTGTCCTCCTCCTCACACCCACCACATTATACATCAACTACAGATGTGTGTGTGTGAGGCAAAGTAGAAGTTAAAGTGACGGCTCCTTCCTCATTCTGCACAGGAGGAAACTAACACTCCCCACGGCAGCCTCATTAGCGCTCTGGGTCATTCAACTTCTTTATGTGATCATTGTTTGTGTGAAAAACTCAAATATAAACTGATATTTGCACAGTGAGCGAGTCACAGGTATAGATGGTGTGATCCTCGTCAGCTTGTGCGAGCTACTGAAGACGTCACTGTGGCAGTTCGTCACCTTTTGAGTGAGTTATTTTGAGCTCTTTGTTTGTCTGTTTAGTTGCTGCGGTAGATAACTGCTCGTCTATCTTTGTAAAGCTGAGTAATAACCGAGAAAATCAATACTTTTTAACAAATACGTCGATATCCATATTGTAGGGCTGAGCATTGGTGCTTTCACAAAATACTTACATGATGAGATTTTGGATAAAGTGACAAAGTGGGTAAAAAGATAGAACAGGCTGGTAAATTCAGAAAATGACTTCACTTTACTGTAATGCAGCCTTTAAAACTAGGAAAAGACAACACTTATGCCATATTAGCATATCCAAGACCTAAGACCTCTAGTTTAAAATAACAATATCTATATGACATCAATATAGTTAGCAGCCCTTCCTCGCTTCACTACAGATGTGGATGAAGTTACAGCGCTTGCGGTTGTCAGTGGGTCGGGATACGAGTGTCCACTCAGGCAGGACGTTTGTACGGGCAAGGACAAATCAATAGAGCTACGGCTCGGATCTTACAAGCCGGATGTCATTCGGCACTAAGCCTTGTGGTGCACGTTGGGGACCCAAAACTGCTTTAATGCGCACTAACGAGGAGCTTTCAGATGAAGGAAAGGATTCTTATCGATTCCTCGTTTTCAATCTTCAACAGTCACAGAGTAGACCCAGGCACCAGTCCTTTCTCCTACATCACTGCTTCTCCTCCGTCCCCCCCTCCTCCTTCCCATTGAGGAGGTTTTGCACACACACACACACACACACACACACACACAGAAGAAGTAGTGAGCTTTGCTGCCACCTGTTGGCAGAACTCTGCTCGGCTAAACAGAAACGTTTGAGTAAGTCCACACATAAGTGAGTTAAAGGAGCATAAATTAACAAGCCAGGTCTGATTATTCGAGTGTATCCGACACACACACACACACACACACACACACACACACACACACACACACACACACACAGACTAGCCATTGTAGCCCTCCAGCAAACAAGCCATTGGCCTATGGCCACCGTCACACAACCCCTCGCCCCCCCCCGCCCCGGTCCCACGCTCATGTGGACAAGCTGCCCTGCAAATATTTGCTCTCCCCATCCGGGAGGAGTGAACTTGTTAATAGAGCCCCCGCTTGTTCTTCAGAAGTACAGTATTAACTGTGAAGTGTGCGGGCGGCTTTTCAAAATCTTACAATAAGTTGACACGGCGAAGAGCCATTTTGAAAACATCCCTCCCTAACATGCTTCCAAGTTCGTGATGGGGGGAGTAACTCCATTGATGATTACAGCAAGCAGAAGCTGGTTCATACCTGACTTTTGTTTTTAAGACAAACATCCTTTAATGCTTGTGCTTCATTTCCTTTTTAATATTGCCTCGTCTTGCTTCACAATATCAACGGTCACAAGTGGTAGACGTGTGCAACTGGTGACGAGGGGCTGCAGGTGGTGATGTATTAAAGCGGTCCGTCCCATCGGGCTGCTCAGACAGCGTGTTTGCATCTGCAAAGTGTCCTCGGTACTCCCTCCTCACCAAACATCCAGCGCCCCCTGAGAGGAATAATCATTAGTGTCCTCACATTATCCTGCTTGTGTTTCCTCCCTTGTTTTCTAGAGACAATGTGCTGCCTCTGCTGTATTTTGTGCTGATAACAGGTTTTGTTTCAACGAGGGCTAACTGCTGCTATCAGCAGACATCAGAAACTCCTCAACACGGCCGGTGGGCTTTTCTAACTTTTATCAAACTGTCTGGTGGAGGCTAATCTCCATATTTCCTCTCTCCACTGCAGTTGTTCGTGGGTCTGTCCTTCCCCTACGAGGGTCCCGCCCCCCTGGAGGCCATCGCCAACGGCTGCGCTTTCCTCAACCCCAAATTCAGCCCAGCGAAGAGCAGCAAGAACACGGACTTCTTCAAGGGAAAACCCACCATGAGAGAGGTGAGAGGAGCTCACAGGTGTCTTTTACTCTGCTGCTCAGGATGTGACTTCTAACCTCTTCTCTCTCTCATTGTTGTTGTTGTCTGCAGCTGACCTCTCAACACCCGTATGCTGAGTTGTACATCGGCCAGCCCCATGTGTGGACGGTGGACATCGAGAACCCTGTGGAGGTGGAGGCGGCCATCCACTCCATCCTCAGCCAGAAGGTAAACATAAAGGTCTTCCTCATGAAATGTCTGCGTTGTGATAGAAATGATGTCATGTTAGAGGTACATGTGAGGCTAGCCAGATGTATACAGTACCTATACTGCAATGGACCTGCAACTAATGACCGTCTGCACTATCAATGAGTCTGCAGATAACTTTCTGGAGTGATCGTTTGGTGTATAAAATGTCAAAAAGCTGCCGTCACCATTTCCTCAAACCCAAAGATATTCACTTTAGTCTCTCAGTAAGACGATGAAAAGCCGCAAATCCTCAGTTAAGAAGCTAAAACCGGGAAGTCTGAAGTGTTTAATTAAGTATCAAAATATGATAAAAAAATGTCCAGAGGCAGAGCTAAAGTACAGGAGAGAGAGAGAGAGAGAGAGATCCGGTTCCGTCTTCCCGTCCAGGCCCATGCATATTTAAAGGGCCCGGGACCTCGTGTCGTGTTCCGCCGAGCGACTCGGAACAATGGCCTTGTTCACTGGACGAGCCCGCGGATCCTCATATGTTCTGTGATCCGTGGCAAGTTGGAGCCTACCAGGCTCCGGCTCGGCTCCCCTCCTCATCTTCCCTTCCCCTCCTCATCTTCCCTCCCCCTCCTCACAAAGACATGGAGAAAGCATGCGAGTGACTTAGTGCCACAACAAAGGCTTCGGTTGTTGGTCCTCCCAGTTTGAAGTTTCCCTAAATCAGAGTCCGTGGAGGTCGATGGGACTCTAAAGGGCGGCAGACAGCGGGCTGATGTTTCACCATGCTCTCTCTCTCTCTCACACACACACACACACACTTCTCTGATCAGTCTGTCTTGTGTTTGTGCGATCAGATTGAGCCCTACCTGCCTTATGAGTTCACCTGTGAGGGGATGCTGCAGAGAGTCAACGGCTTCATTGAGAACCAGGTAATGAGTGAACACTGGAGAAGAGCACTCAGTAAAACGCAGAAAAAAACCAACAACTAGCTGTTATCGTCTTTGTCAGTATCATGATTTGTTATCGTCTTTGTCGTCAGGATTTGTAATATTCATGCACGTTAATGGTTTCATTATCTCCGTCATACGAGATGGAATGGTTTTAAGTCTCGACTGTGCTGCAGCTCGTGCTGCACGTCCAGTAGTGTGACTCCATGTTGTGTTGTACAGGACTTCTGCCACGGCCAGGTGATGTGGCCCCCACTCAGCACCCTGCAGGTGAAGTTGGCCGAGCCGGGACGCACCTGCAAACAGGTGTGCCAGGAGGAGCAGCTCGTCTGTGAGCCGTCCTTCTTCCAACACCTCAACAAGGACAAGGACCTGGCCAGGTGGGACACTCACACACACGTTTACACGTTTAGACGGGAACATAAAGGCTTTCCTCTGTTATAGTTGTGATTGTTAAAACAGCCAGCAGGTGGCAGCACACACCAGGTTTGAATTGAAATGTGCAGTTTGTCATCCAGAGTGGAGAATTTAAATACACTGCAGTGTTGTGTTAATACCACCGGAGGGCCCAGTTTGTTTACTGGGATTCAATGGGCCAAGCCTCAGGACTGATGCTGAAGGTGTGTGTGTGTGTGTTTGTGTGGTGTGGCTTTCTCGCTCTGATTCAGATAAATAAACAGTCAGCATAGGAACTGAAGGTGCTCTCTCTCTCTCTGGTCTCAGGTTCGGCGTGGACTGCCAGACGGTGGAGTCCAGTGCCGACACGGTGGTGCCGGCCTACAGCGAGACCCGCCGCCACTGCATCTTCCAGTCCGACCTGCTGCTCTTCAGCTGCGCCGGCGCCCACCAGTCGCTGCAGCGCATCTGCCCGTGCCGCGACTACATGAAGGGCCAGGTGGCGCTGTGCAAAGACTGCCTATAGCACCAACAGGCAGGCCGAGGAAAAGGAGAGGGGGGGGGGGTGAATGAAGCCGGAGCAACTTAACAAGTGTTTGAGACTCGTGCTGCTCCCCATCGAACACACTTTAGTGGGAAGACGTCTGGACAGAAGAGACTGTGTATGTCCATCATATTTATTGTTCCCCCCCTCAGCTGCAGGAAGTGAAGCAGCCCATCCGAGCATCCGCAAGCCGCTGCCTCCCCCCCTCCCCACCGGATTCTGCGGAAGTGCTGTGAAATTACTTGAATCAACAAAGAGGGAGCCGTCGTAGACTTTTAAGAGTGCTGCTTCCTCCTTTGGTAGACTGCACCAATCAGTGACCGCCTGCCTGTTGTTCTTCAGGTTCAGGGCAGCGAGGTACCAAGGAGACTCAGCCCCCCCCCCTCCCCTCCCCTCCCCTCCGTCCACCTCCCCTTGGTCTAATCTGAAATTGTTTATTCTTTTGGTAGATTTGCACTGGACTGGCTCGCCAGAAGGCCCACACACACACACACACACACACACACACACACACACACACACACACAGTTTTACACTGTAACCAACTCGTTGGTCTCGTCCGTACAAACATGAGAGCGGACCTGTATCGTAGATATTTTTATCCTGACTCGTACCCCCAGACTCTGAAGCAGCGGTCCTCTTTCGCCCGTAAAAGACGGGACAGTCCAGTCGTGGATCAGTCACCGGCCCCTTTCATTTTCACACATTCACTTTTAAATCGCACACTTGCTTTAAATGTCACTTATTTAAAAAAAAAAAAAAAAAAAAAAGAGGATAGAGCACGTGTGTTTTCTACTAAAAGGCCAGTAGAGGAGCGTAGAAATGTCTTTGTGTTTCCGCAGCACGCCATCCGTCCTCTGTAGCTAAAGCTGTCGCGTACGGGAGTCACCGTGTCATAGGACGTCGTGTCGTAGATGATAGGCCGTCCTCGGTAGCGGACCACTAGATGATTGCGTGCAGAGAAACATGAAAACCTAACAGAGGTGTTTGTCCGTGTCTTAACGTTTAAATACATAAAAATAACTAAACACAGATCCATGTTCGGCTCCCATCTGCCAGACAAAAAAAGAAAACACACTTCTCGTTTTCTTCAAAGAACCATTAGGATCCTGTTCATGTGGTGAATTGGGGAATAAATGCACTACGGTAATCTGAGGTTTGACAAGATATTAGCAACACTGTATATTGTTCATAAGGGTTTTAAAGTTTCTTTATTTATTTTGTATACAAATCTTTGTGTTGCTGGAAATCTTTTCTTTTTTATTTATAGGAGGAGTGTCTTTTTTTCCATTTTATAGATTTTTATTTATGGAGAGTAATATAAAAAAAAAGAAGAAAAAAAGCTTGCTTGTCTTTCGGTGTATGAACGAGAGTTTGGAGGCTTTTGTCTGCTTCTGTTCAGCTTTCAACAGTGATGAGAAGACGTTTAGAGTCTCGCTGGTCATTTCAGCATTTTTATAGAAAACGTTTGAACAACTAAAAAGCGATTTGATGTTTGACTAAAGCTAAAATCATGATTGGTTTCAAACGGAAATCTTTAGTGTTAAATAACCGTTTTAACGGGGGATCGTCTTCATCTTTTCATCGTCATCACTGTTAAAGATGGACAGCGGTGGACAAACCGGAGCCTCGTACACTTTGTGCTTTGATTTCCAATCACTTTTCTGTTTGCACGTGTAAATCAGCACCGTCCAGCTGTACTGTCTCACCGTCAGCTTCTTTTGTTGTTTTTTACTTTTTGTAAACGGGTCAACGATCTTGCATTTCAAAGTACATGATGTGCCTTTTCACCGTTTAGTTCGGTTCTGATTATGGAGAAAATAGAAACACTTGTGATACGGCCTTCAGTCCCAAATCTAACTCCACATAGCAGCTGAAGGATTCTCTCCTGAGTCAGTGTTTTGGGTCACGTGAATTTAAATCGTAGTTTATCTAATTTAAAGTTAATACAATTGAATCAGTCCGAACCTTGTAACTATAAGAATGGATGTTCATTCAGCTCAGAAAATGTTTCCTGTACATTCTTCAGAATGTACATGTTTTACAGTAATTGGATTACTCGCGTCCAGCAGCAGTTTGAGTTCAGAAGCATCCATGTAAACACGTCATTTAGTGTCCTCTTCTCCAGTGGAGCAATGAGGAATAAGCTGTTTAGGTTTTCTTACGTGGGGATGGTTGAGTTCTAACTAGAAGACAAACCGGTCAAACCGGTTGTGCTGCACTGAAAGCCTTATTTACTTTGCTAGTCAGGCTTATTCTGAGCATGCCGTCCATCGGATTATCAACCGTTTGGTTTCTAGAGAACCGTATCCGTCTCTGTTATCCTCAGCATCAAATGTCTCCGTTGTACAAAAAAAAAAAAAAAAAAAAAAGAGCAAACCTGCTACTTAGAGTCACACGAACATGTATTCTCTTTTTCAACCTCGATCATGTTTGAATCGGTCAGTTAGAGCGGTGGTGATGTTGTGGTCCAAGCAGCGAAAGGTGAATAACGCAATGACAACATGGTGTTTTTTTTGTTTTCACAGTCCTTGATGAGTAAGAGGGATATAACTTTATTTTTAAATAAACCTTTTTTCTGTGACAAGACTCCGGTTTAATATTTGTTTTACATCACAGCAATACAGATTCAGTATTTACATTGGCATAGAGTGTGTGTGTGTGCGTGTGTCAAGTCGTACAATACTGAGCAGAAAGCAGCAAGTTAAATTTGGGCCTCATAAACATTTCAGGCACAAATATAACCCCTGTTTGCTAAAACGTTCTCACATCCTTAAAATACCACTTTTGTATTCAGATAAAAGTCCTTAAACGTGACAAAACACAAATAAATACGCCACACAAACTAGTCCCACAGCGCAGTGTGCACATTGGGTTACAGTAATAGAAGAAAGGTCCTCCCTCCTGCTCCTGAAACTCCACATGATCATCACGCTCACCAAAACATTCAGCGGCATGATTAAGATAGGAGTCAGGAAGGAGCAGACGGGATGGAAAGATATCAGTGCGGTGATTCATAGTGATGGAATACAAATAACAGCAACGCTAGTAAATAACAGCAACGCTAGTAAATAACAGCTACGCTAGTAAATAACAGCTACGCTAGTAAATAACAGCTACGCTAGTAAATAACAGCTTTCTTCCCGAGGTCCGGGAAGCCACTGTGCTACAGAAACTCAGTTTTGTGCTTTTACACATATTCAAATGTCAGGGTATAACCAACCATCAAAAATAAAAAGACTTAATTCAAAATATCCTATAAAAAAAAAAGTCTTGTCATAATTGAATCAGTAAATTATTAACATCACTCCACAAGTTATAAGAGAAATAAGGGCTTCCCTTTCAGATCCCAAAAACAAACAGCAGCTCCAGATAAGAGGACACATGTTGACAGTGTCAGGAATGTCCACTAGTCACTGCAGTGGGCTCAGGACAACCGTCAGGCATCACGTATAGAAAACAACAAAAAAGTGACAAAGCCAAAAGGTTAAACATCGCTCAAACAGTTCATCAGATGTGCAATTTCAGTGTAAACTTTCAGTGTTTGGTGACTCCTTCAATAACAACCAGTGGAATCCTTCACAGTATGATATTTACAGCCCGTAGACAGAGGAAATAAATCAGGAATGAACTTGAATTCCTGCACACCCCAGAGTCCAAGCTCCCCCAACTCGAATCCAACAGATTCCACTAACTAGTCTCGCTCGTAGTACTTCTACTAAATCCTAAATAAACCGGGGACAAGAAGCTGCTGCCCTTCCAGCATCCAAACCAAGAAGAAACCTTCACACATCAATGGTCAAGAACTAAATAGGTGAAATTGGCTAAACCAACCCACAAAAGCCTCCTCCTGTCACAACACAGACCAAACCTGGATCCCAACAAGAGAGCACAACCCTCCATCTGTCACAAACTCGCAGGAGTCCAGGCAAGAGCGTGAACTAATCACACAAACAATTACAATCAATTCGACTAAAACAGCAGCTTATGGAAACCAGCAACATCCGCATTTAAAGCGAGGCAATAAAAAGAAGCGACATACCTGCAGTGGAGAGACACAGTGAGCTCATGGCCCAGCTGAACCAGATCAACTAACGAGCCTCCACTGATTAGCCAGAACACATCTGGTGTGTTCCTTAACCTCCTCACCTCACCTCATTTTGGATTCTATGGATCTATGACAAAGATAATGTTTGTCTAATTTGACTTCATATTGATGGCAACCTGAAGCTACTGAGCTGGTGTCTGTTACATCTCAGTGAAGTGGAGGCTGAGTGAGGTCGTGACTTCTCTTTTTGCGACTGGATGCCAAAAAGATTTCTATCGTCCAGGACTGGAAGTTGGCGTTACGCTGCTGAAACGGAGCCAACTCCGGGCTCCCGCCACAACAGCCCCAATGAATATTGTAAACAGTAACTCACATGTTACCGAGCCTCTCTGTGTGCTTAGATACCCCCCCCCCCCCATCCCAACCGAGCGTTGTATTGATACATAAAGAAAGGGTGAAACACCATTAATCCTCCGCTGCTACATCGATCACTTTCACTTTATAGCACAGCTGAGCAAAGGCCTCTAAGAACCATGGGAAAATAAACTGCAGTGTTTTGACAGGGCGATGAGGTGTAACTGAGGTAATGTACATCAACTTGTTGTGGATTCTCTGGTGTCCACATGTCTCCCGTACGCTGCAGTCCAAGCTTTCACAATCAACTGCCTCCATCTTTTCAACCATCTTGTTTAAATACAGAGGCGTGAAAACAACAGACTGACCCGTTCACTGTTAAAAGACAGATAAAGATATTATATGTACCAAATCGTAAAACACTTCAAAAGGCGGCAAGGATTTCATCCATCCCTTGCCGTCGTCACTGGCCTGGATCCTCAGATGAATGAGAGAACTGTATACACACTGGAGGGCCGCATGTGATTGTCTGTGGAGAGAGTGTGTGGACTGTGACCCCCCTCGTCTCTCTCCTGTCAGTCGGCCCCCCTTCCATCCCTCCCAAACCCTCCACTTCTCCCTCCTTTCCCTCCGCGGTCCGTCACTCAAAGCGCTCGTAGTTCCTGGTTTGTCGGAGCCGCGGGACCATGTCGATCAGCAGCCTGCGGTAGAAGAAGAGGAGGCTTTTTTTAGGAAGCAAAAAGAGAAAACGCAGAGAGTTGATGCGAGCACTTTGATCCCCATTCCGACGCAATGCAGACGGACATAAATAGATTTTATGTTTTCGCTCAAGGCAGAAAATCTCACCGCGTCAGCAGTGAAGATCAAACCTTTCATCTGAGAGCCCAATGTTTGTACAGAATGTGCATGTTCTCTGGAGAAAGTTTTACAGAATTGTTTTGTGCATGCATTTATGGTTCATTTTAATTGGTTAATTGGCAGTTTGAGGGGTCAGTGATTTATTTATTTAGACAGGGCAACTGCAAAGAAAACTATCATCTGCACTCTCTAGTAATCACTCACTTGACTCCATAGGCGAGGATGATGAGCCCGATGAGGACGCCTATTGACCCATCCAGGTACCACACCTGGGGCTCATGCTTGAACACTTCGGCGCTGATGAGAATGGAGAACCCCATGACTCCCCCCACCAGTGAGTTGAATCCTGGGAAAGTTCAAACAAAAGTCCTTTGAAAAACATCTGACACGTAGTCAGCTGATGAGGGTTTTGGGCTTCCCCCAGACACCTGCTAAGAGTCCAGTGGTCATGTGACATTGCCTGCTGGGCGCCTCTAACAGCATACGAAGTGTGTCGCGCTGGGCATGACAGATTCTTTAAATGTCCCTTATAGTTGTTAGATACTCAAATGTCACCTGGAACGTGCCGGTTTAAGTCGCTATATGTCACACTGTGACGATTGTATTTAATGAGTAAATAAGCCTTTCTACGTATATGTGAGGGGACAGACTGAATTAGAAGGTGTTTGAGTATCTGTGTGTGCACCCACCGTCGGTGATGAGGGCCCGGCTTGTGAGCACTTTGCCGAGCATGAACTTGATCACGGCCAGGGTGACGCACACCAGGCCGCTGACGATGGCCACACTGAACAGGAAGTCATCCTGAGGGAGACGGAGGGAAGAGAGGAAGTGTTAGTTTCGATTTTAGGATGTGTCTTCGCAGTCGAAAATAGTTTTAAAAAACGTCACAGTGACCCAGACCTTCAGCCACCAAGATATGACCAGTTCTTCCTCGAGTCCAAGTTAACGTTTGTGCCAACTTTGAAGAGATGTCCTCCAGGCATTACTGAGACAACACGTGGACCAGATGGATGAACAACCCAAAACCATAAACCGGTGTGCGAGTCATAAATATGAGCTCCCCAAAGCTCATATTTAATTACTTATTCCGGCAATTATCTCCATCTCATCAAACGCTCAGCCTTTGAGTTTTAAAGATGTTTTCTTTCTTGTCACACCTATTGCGAGTCTCACTGGAAAGAGCGTCAGCGAAAATACCCGAAATGTAAATGCACAAAGGATGGATGGAGGAGGGGGGGCTGCAGAGCACTCAGTGCCTCTGCGGCAGCATTAATATTGCACTATGGCCTTGGAGCTATGAAAAGCTACTTTGGCGAGCTCGCAGACATCAGAGGGGAGATGGAGAGAGAAGCTCAGCATGCTGCAGAGACCTGAGTCAGTGCTGTGACTCAGCTGTGAAAACAACACCTTAGATGGGTGTCGTCCTCTAAGCAGTGAACACATGGGGACAACATCATCGAGTCCAACAAAGACAGACAGTTCTCAGACGGGAGATATTCAGAATTTGCCACAGTTTTACATGTTTATTACATGGAATAAATCACAGGCTTTCACTATGAAGAAGCTGCTTCTCAATACATGCAAACAGGGGGACCATCAGGTCTGAGCATTTTTCATTTTGGGCTCATGAAGGACGGAAATGTGGACACACACACACACACACACACACACACACACACCGAGGGAGCTCATGACAGACCGACGCTGCCCAGAATGTGAACACTGTGCTTGACATTTCCGTTTGACTTCCAGAGCTCCTCGTGCAGAATATCAAAACGGTCCGAGCTGTTCCGATAAGGCAGGGCGGGGCCAACAAGAGCCTCGTTTATAATCACGAGTATTATTCATAACGGTGATTGGATGTGGGGCTTTTTGAGTGGAAGTGTCCTCGACTCTCAGAGGTCACCGCGGCCTCTTCAAATGAATTTAACGTCACAAAAAGTGCCGAGGTGAAGACGACGACGCCTTCGTTTTTTGGCCGCTAAATGACATTAATTGGGCACAGAGGACCAGCAGAGCAGGAGCAGTCAGGTGTCAAAAAACAAACATGCTCCCCCCCCCCCCCCCGTCTGTATCCTCCTCTTCATCGCCGCTGCATACCTAAGCAGCTGCTTCCCTTATTAACATTTCATAGCGAGGAGGAGGAGGAGGAGGAGGGAGAGAGGGGAGGCTGTGAAAACAGAAGCGTATTTCTAGCGTGAGTAGAGGAGGGCTGTGATGCTCTATATATAACTCAGACTGCGATGCACCAGAAGCCAGTGTGGTGGAACCCGGCTGTGTGACGGAAGACTCAGAAAAACACAATCTGTCTGCCTCGCCCGCTCCCACACTCCGCCTTTGTTATGGCCTCGCTGCTCGCTGCAGCCACAGATGAATAGATGGAACACAGTCGGTCCGATGCGTCAATGAAGGATTTGAAAACAAGTTGAATTTGGAGCCCGAGCGAGTTGCAAAAGGCTGTTTGAAACTCTTAAAAAGGGGCAGTTCTCAGCGTGGTGTGTGTCTGTTCTGCAGAAAATGTAAGAGATTTGTTAATGACTTTAGTTATGTTATGCTCTATAGCCTCGTATCAAAGCATAACAGCGTGTGCAGCAGATACAGCTCATTCCATACAGCCTTGATCACACATTTGAGACTGAAACAGGCAACAATAGTTGTTTACAAAACCACACCGGAGTGAATTAGATAATAGAGCGAAAGTGGAAAGAGGCAGTGGGTCTCTACGGTAATTCAGCTCACCAAAACGCAACGATCGAATTATATTTACTCATCATCATCATCCTCATCATTGTTCAGATCCGTTTCTGGAGAGATGACTCCTGCTCTGCAACGGGGCAGTAAAGCTATTTCAGGAGGTGTGAAAGCTCACGAGTCTTCACACCTGAGATTTGTGACATTCTTCATCCAGCAGCAACACTGTTACACCTCTGTCATCCCCACACACACACACACACACTCTAATGCAACACTGCCTCCTCAACATCAAATGAAATAAAGCAACCCAATCATCCAGACCTCACTTGTGATTTTCCAGAGCCAAAGCGTTCCATCTGTTCAGTCACACTGAGCTCCTCCTCTTGGCCCAAACCACCAGCCCTCCAGTGACCAGCACTACGTGATGGCCATCTTATCACATGAACCGCCAGGTCAACATGGCAACACGGGGACAGAATAATTCATGTTACGTCAGCCGCTTCATGCTAATCACGGCCTGCATATTGTTTGTCTTGGACACTGAGAAGTACACTCAGATTTCAGGACGATATTATTAGAAACAGGCACAAAGTCAACAGGCTTTCTGAGAGAAAATGCTGGTCTATGGCAGACTCGTGGTATCACAGCATGGAGAGCAGATGAGTCCTGGATTGACAAAGTGCTTTTTAGCCTAAAATTCCACCAAAATATCTGCTTATCCACCAAACTTTTGGCACCCTGACTCCAGTGAGACGGAACAAAAGCATAAAGTCACCCTGTTTGACTGTTCACTTCACAATAAAAGAGATTTGAAAGGGTTAAACCAATAACATAATCTGTCCCATATGGTGGGCGCTTTAATCCAAAACTCACCTCCAACTCCAGTTTGAATCAAATTCTGCCCCCTGCACCATGATGATAGCAATCTCCTGCACACTGACACTCACTCTATGTCATATAAGACGGGAACTCTAATCTAGTACGAGCTAATGCTTTCATACAGCCTCTTCAGCTCTGCTGACATCCGTTCTGTGTTGCTAATTAATGAATGACTCCTTACCACTTCAGGTAGCAGCTTGGTGGCCAGGTCGTGGATGGCCTTACCCAGAATGCACAGGGAGGACAGGATGAAAACCACGCCCAGGATGACACAGGCTCTGCGGAGGAGAAGAGACGGAAGTAAACTGCGGCGACGAGCACATTAGGAACTACGCAAACACAAATGATGAAGCCAGACAGTAAAAGGGATTAAGACTAAATGATAGTGACCCTACAACAATCCGTGGATGAGTTAACTGTGTCACACCGGTGTACGGGGCCAAGATGCTCCGTGAAGACTTCGTAGGAAGCAGCAGATGTCCTTTAGAAACCTTCTACCCAATTAACAAGTTCTCCAGGGAGACAGAACAACAACTGGAGCATATGCCCCGGTCACGCATGGCCACCGGCGAGTGCTCGATCCAGAAAGATCTTCTCGAGCCACACTCGGGGGTCCTGGGCTGAGGTAACCACGGCAACAACCGACATCACCCCGGGAGTACACACACACACACACACACACATCATCCCCAGGAACAGGCCCCCTGCTGTCTCTTGCACACAGTGGATGTAAACATGTCTCCATGACTACACACAACTACAGCGAAAGGAACAACGGATCCATCAAGTCACTCATCTCGACGCCTGTTACCGTGGCAACCGCTCTGTACCTGGGCACCGCTACTCGGCCGCATCTCCTCGATCGAACGCAGACAGATGAGAGAACGCACGAAGAAGAATGTCGATTCGCTGGTTGTTGTCAGTGGTTTTCCTCACTAACGGTCGAACAAATACACAAACAGCAGAAGAAAGGAAACACAACGCTACAGTGTGTGTGTATGTGTGGGCGTTTTAGTTGCTTGCATGTGATTCTCACTTTCCTGTCTGTTCATTTATGCATGAATTTATCTGTGTGTGTGTGATACAGGAGGAGGCCTGGCCTCTCGGTGAAGCCAATTACTGGCTGAGTGCCTCCCCGAATTTCTCCAATTAGCTGCTGAAGTGACATAATGAAGGCTGCTGTCTGATGACATTTTAATGAGATTTTACACTCTCACATATCCATCAAAAGTATTTTTGTTGATGTGCTTTATTGATGTAAACCTGCAGTTCTGGTTTTGGATCTTGAATACACAGTTACACACAATCATTTACTCTCTTTTAATTGTATCTTAACTAAATATTTGGTTTTATTTACATTGGAAGTGAGTGACTGAACAACGACGACTAAGATTTGATTTTCAGCTATTATGAATTTATAAGACTTGGAATTAAAAATCAATAAAAGAACCGAAATAGACAGCGACACTGTGACAGACAGCTGCGTTACACTCCCCCCCTCCACCCTCTCTTTCAGTCGCCTGCTTGAGCACCCTCACCATTCAGCTGGCTCTGAAAAGGCCCACCTGACCTCCACACACACACACACACACACACACACACACACACACACACGCCATTCTCAGCAGGTACAGATAAGCCGCGAGGCGATCGGTCCCAGCGGGGCCGAGACTGACAAAGCTGAAGAGACACTTTATCTGACACACTCCTCTACTGGACAAAGCCGGCCACACACACACACACACACACACACACACACACACACACACACACACACTAGACACTGTGTGGAAACATTAAAGTGGATTTCATCACTTTTATAGGTTTGTTTTGGTCGTCATAGATGAAATTAAACCACCTGGGCAAGCTGAAAAGAAAGGCTCCATCTTCTTATTACATTGATTTGAAAACATAAGTTATGATAGCCTGCAAGATGCATATCATATTTGGTCATATGGGTGGCTAATAATTATTCTAAGACAATTACATGCAAATTCCAGGGAAAGACCTCCCTAACACTTCATTCATACATCATTTCAGTGATTTTAATGCCTGGGATTTATAGAATTGAAACCCTTTTTCAGGCCCTTGAGGTGCACACTCACAGCTGAAACTTGATTCTTGCGGCAGGTCTGACTTGCTCTTTTTTTTTTACGCTGACTCTACTCACATGTATTCGCGGTGTGCCGAGTGGACGGCCGCGGCGTTGCTGTACCGCCACAGCACAATGGCCGAGGACAACACGTCCAGGGAGGCGTCGAACTGCAGGGGGGGGGGGGGGGGGACAGTTACAGTGTTACACTCTCTATGGCAGAAAGAAGTGGAGGATTTACGGTCGACTTACGGCAAATCCAAACGCCGAGGCGCTGTGGCGCATGATGGACACAGCTGGAGAGAAACACAGAAAGAGAGAGAGATACTGAACAAGTGACAATTCATTTAATGTGGAGATCACACACAACCATTTTTAATCCCCAATCTTCCTACATATAGGCATGGATTCTGCATGTGATGTTGACATGAATTAGTTTCTCTGTGTAGACTTTAAAACACCAGCATGAAAGTCTTTTATTTTGCAGGAGTATTAAGCAAGATGATTTCCTGTCACTGGCTGTCTTTGGCGGGCTGATAACGAGCTGCAGATGTGTTGAAAACATTGTAATCGTCCGCACACCTGCAATGGCGGGGGGGGAAACTGGGATGAGAGGGAAAGGAGAGACAAACAAGATGGAGACGCAGATAGATGGAGGGGAGGGATACTCTCCTCCTCCTCCCACGTTTATTTTTAGCGACGCTCACTGGGGGCCAGACACTCAGCCCTGCAGAAACACATCTCTTTCCCTGCGCCTCCGCTTTCTCTCTGCTGCAAAGATAGTGAAATGATGATTCCTTCATCCATCCTCCATACCTTTATTGTTTCATCTCTCTCTGGGCTGAAGGAGCAATCATCCACTTCCACTGACCGAAATGAAAAACAGGAATGAATTCTGCACTTAAACACACATGAACAACCCTTGAATACAAATGAGAAGGTGTTTTAAAAAAAAATCATATCAGAGATCTTCAGGGATGTGGCATGGAAATGTCCAGATGTTTCTATCTCCATAAAGACCTCGTGTTCTGGTAAATACATATTGTTATGAGCACTGTGAAACTAGTGGAAACCAGATTAACTTCTGTATTTAAACTGTCCCTTGGCTCTGTGTGTGGTTACAGACAAACAGTTCAGCAAATACAACTTGACAGCTGCTCAACTGCAGGTTAACAGAGAGTGACTGTATTTCATGTCGAGGTGTCACGCATCTGCCAGAGTTGGCATAACAAGAAGGGGAATGTAGCAGGTGCTCTTATTTTGCAAGTTAAATTCTTGCTTTCATGCTATTTTATACAAGATGTTCGTTGGCAGAGGTCTCATTTGGGATGGAAACCCCCAAAGACCCGTCACATCTTGGTGGCCAAAACACAGAAACGCATCCTCCTCCTCCTCCTCCTCCCTCTTTGATTCCTCCCCTTTGTTCTTCCTCTCTCCTTCTAGCTCCTCCATTAAGCGCGGAGAGAAGACACCGTGTGCAAATGAGTCCACTGCGGCTCTGCATCCGTCAAAGCCGAGTCCGGCGACGGCTAATTGGCTCCCAAGAAAGCCGGCCGGGCGTCAGCGGGGAAGGAACTACAGCATCAGGCTATCACACACACACACACACACACACACACATATATGAGCTCTATCGTCTCCCTGTCTCCCCCTCCCTCCCTCCTCCCTGCTTGTCACATCTGACAAGAAAAGGCAGATAAAACACCGTCTGAGCTCTGCCGGTTTATTGGTTGTTTCTGGAGCGGCGTTATGCATATCAGTGGAGCACTTTGCTACTCGCCTCTTTTTTTGCAGACACCAGAAGGTGAGCTGGATGTGACATTCTGGGTCACGTGACGCCGAACTCCTGAAGATGAGAGAGTGGTATCCATCTATTTGCCAAAAGGTCAAACTTCTGCTTGAAGTAAAGTAGAGCCAGTAGAGTTGGGAATATCTACCACCTGCTGTTTAAAGCCTTTTCCCCCTCCAGTCTTTCTCTATAGACGGCACCAGCCAATGGGAGTCGCTCTCATACTCCACACTTTGGTGTGTCAGACTGGACCAAAAACTACAATAAACTTAAAGTTGCAGCTGCCCGCCACGAATACAATTCACACACACTCAGATAGGCCAAATGTTTGACTACTGCTAATGTTTGACAGGGCCTGATACCCAATAGGCAATACTTTCACTTCATATTCTCTTATAAAGATATAAAGACAACAGAAAGTGGACTAACGCGTCGACTCTTTAGAATTCAGGTCACTCGTGACTCTATGTCACTCTATGTGCTTTCTACACCCTGGATCCATTAGCTTCTTCCTTAGAAACATGTTATTAATGCCGTTTCCTCATGCGTGGAGCGGTCCCATGGAAACAGGAGGAGTGTGATGCTAACAGCTGGTTAGAAAAACAAGATTCTTACACGGTCTTTGTTTACAATGGCACTCCCTGGCTGGCTGCGAAAGACCAGAGACTGACTTACAGACGTGTGAACGAGTGTTTGAGGAGTGATCGGGTAACTCATGCGGCGGCTTGTTTGCTGATTAATGTTCGATGATATGATGACATCCTAGTGAGTCACACAGTTTAGACGTGATCATCAACAAGGAATATCAAATGTTGAGCACTGTTTCAATGTTTTAATCACAAAAAAAGATGATGAATGAATGATGTTATTGTATAATAGATGAAATAACATGAAGCATCGGCAACTATTTGGGGCTCGACTCCCCGATTTGCAATGAACAAACCTCTTCCAGACTGGAAAAAACACACACACCAAAGACGGAAGTTGGCCTTCCGGTCCTGCTTCCCCGACCAGCGCTTCCTTATCGGAACAGGAAGTGGGCAAAATGTTTGAAACAACACCGACTGAACTCAGGAAGAGGCTCTGATTTCCAAAACAAAACGTCTCGGCACCTTGAGCCACCTCGCTCTGACCCAAGTGGTCCAACTAATCGAATTCCAATTCCTAATTTCACCCTCAAACAAGACTCCAATTAACTATTGAACCGCTGGATTTTCTTCACTACGTCGGCTTGTATTTCTCTGGGGAGCGCCAGAAATCGAAATAAACCAATTATGTGTCGGGTAATGACGGATGTGCTGCGAGTCAGATCACCGGTCTCATGGACAGCATGTCCAGTCTGCATATATTCTCAGTCTCCTGCATTATAGGAAACTCATATCTCTGCACATCTGCAAAGCGACGTTTGAGGTGATTCAGCTCCGCTGCAGCAGAGCTCGTCTTCTTCACGCGTTCGTCCGTCAAGCAGACTAATCTGCATTCACCGCAAAGCAGGAAGAGGCATCGGTCGACCACGGCGGGATGTGGTGGCGACAGGCAAGAGACAAGCAGAGTCTGTGATGGTTTTTAAGATATCTGACACACGTTCATGTCTGACTGCCTCAGAGTTTTTCAAATGTCTAAATAATCGGAGCCTTCGAATCCAATTTCACCAATTGGAAAAAGAAGATGAAACATAACTTGGAATTAGATCTACAAAGTGAATCACTTCTATCCTAAATTAGAATTCAAAGAGAGGGAACCTTTGACACGCAGAGACATTAATAAAGAAACACACTGATGCAAACATCTGAGAGGCACTCAGAATTTCTCATTTCAAAGTCAAAACAGAACGAGTCACCGCATCCACGCGGAAAAACCAGAATGTGTACAACATGAGAAATACAACTTGACGGCGTTGCTTATTTTTAACTGAGAGAAACTGTCATTTGAAGTGGAAGCGGTGGGAAACTGATGTTTTAGTGAAACAGGATGTGGGAAGGGTGGACCGTGAAAGCTTTCTTCATGTCGCCTTTCGTTTTTGTTGTTTGATCAAAGGTGTTGGGTGTCACATTGATCTGCAGGGCGACACAGTAATTAACAGAAGCGTCCCTCAACTGAAGAACCAAGCGGCGGGTGTCAGTTTTGCGTAGATGTCTTTGAAAGCATCACTTCCTGTGAGCCAGAGGACTCGTCGAAAAAGACCTTACTCACTGAAAGAGACGATGGCCAGCATGAGCGTGATCACTATGGAGACCCAGGACACCCACAGAGCCTTCTTGCGGTAACTCTGTGCTTCGTGGGGCTTCAGGCGCATACTGCTTTCCAGGAGACCTGCAGACATGTCCCAGGGCACAGTGACACACACACACGATATAAAGACTCTCACTACTATAATAAACTGACTTTAATAATATGGGTGGGGCTACAAGAGTTATTGTATATTTCTAAGATAAGATAAGCTATGCTAGCGACTTTGTGCTTTAAGCTAAATGCTAACATCATCGACGCACATCCATGCTCACAATGACGATGCTAAAGTTTAGCGGTTATTATTTATTTGCTAATTAGCACTTAAAACTAAATACAGCTGAGGTGGACGGGACTGTCATTGGTTCACGATGTAGTCCTAAACCAAAGCATTGACCTGTCGTTAGCACTAATTTAAACGTTATGGCAACACAAGAGTGGTTCATCCTGAGGGGAGCGTGAATGTCTGAAACAAATTTCGTGGAAATTCATTCAAAAGATGTCGAGGCATTTTTACTCAAAATAGCACACGTTCAACGTTACGGGTGGCACTAGAGGAACAGTCGGGGGATCACCAAAATCAGTGGGATTCATCCTCTGGGGACCGTGAACGAATTTTCAGGTCAATACATCCGATAGCTGATGAGATATTTCAGTCCGGGCCAAGGCGGTGGATTGAAATGAAACCATGTGAGACGATTCGTGACCCCGCACTAAACATTGCTTTTTGTAAGAGGTCACAAGCCGAAAAGGTCCCTAGTTTGATCTTCTGACAGTAACTTTTTTTTGGAGTTAGTAAATTACACGTACAGCCACTTTATTACTCTATCAATTGATCGTGGCCCTATTCATATGTGTTATTTCCCCTTTCCCGGAGAAAGTCCATTAATTCTGTTCTCCAACAACACGAATAAATTGCGCCTTTCACGCTTTCCAGGCAGCAATTTCCACTTGTTTCACTTTTGGTGCGACTATGAGGCTTGAAATGTGTTTGAGTCGTCCAATCAAATGAGCATCATGTCTGCTTTTGTTTTAGTCAGTTACAAGATTGTAATAAAGTAATATTGAACGGGCACCAATCTTCTATTGGCACCCTAATAATAATAACAATCAGAGTAGAGTTTGAAAACGGCATCCGGTCCATTACAGTGACAAAGATATTGTCCATATCAACATGACACATCTATATCTTAAGGTCAATATCAGATCACTTGGGTGTGTACAAGCGCAGGAAAAGCATAAAAAAACACACTTTCTTCTGTGTCACTGATTCAATTGCTGCTTGTTTGTTTCACTCTTTTCCAAAAAGCACAAAAAAAACTGTAATAACAGCACAGTAATTTAGGAAGCATGTGTCTGGCAGAATAAACCGTATTCCACATCTTACCAGCTCTGTAAATAATGTATCATATTGACCATAACAATACGATTTGTGTTATATCAAGTCTGAATGGATGTGAAGAACTTTAAACATATTTCACAGCGCCTACCTCCGTCCTCCACGCTGTCTGTTATCTTCATCTCCTGGTCCATCTTGAAACCTTCTCCCTGACCTTCTGTGTTGGGCTGCTGCTCCTGCTGCTGGGAGTCCGTCTGCTCGCACTGCCCGTTCACCGCCGCGGGGTCCACTACAACCGGGTCCGGGTCGGCGGTGGAGTCTGGCGGTGCGGCGTCCGTCATCTTCTCGGCGGGTCGCGCGCGGTTCCAGTTGAGTGAGGCACTCCAAAAATGTCACACCTGGGCGAGAAGTGCAGGATTTACTAGGGAGACACGCAGAGACGGAGAAGAGGGGGGAGACTCCTCTGCAGGTCCAGTTGCGCCAAATCGCACACCGTGAGGCGAAACAAAACCGGAAATAAAGAGATGGTGAACTTCAAAACAAACGCCTGTTTTTCGACGAAAACAGAGAATGAGAAAATGTATATTTTGTTCAAATAGAGAATACATCTGAGCCTTTTGGTTTTTTTGTTTGTTTTTACAGATGTTTTAATTATCATTCAATTATTTTAGAATCAGTTTGATTAGGTATTTTACTCCACTACACATGACTATACAGTTATACATTTTAAAAGCATTAGTCGGTCCAATTCTGAATCCAGAACATTCACTTCTAATTGAGTCGTTTTATATTTTAGACTCCTGAGGCTACTTAAAAACATCTGAATTATTCTTTTATCATTTACTAAATGTTTTAAGGTTTAAATTTGGAGTTTCCATAAAAAGAAACAGGCTGCCTTTTATTTTGAAGGCGGTAACCGGAACTAGTGTCGGCTATGTTGCTGTCAAAAACCGTGTGCTGACAAACTTAACGCGCTCAGTCTGAACGAGCAGTAAAAAAAATAAAATATTCACAACAGGCTGCAATTTTGCGACGTCGAGAAAATAGCCACACCTGGACTCTAATTTGTAAGCCCGGTGGAGTTCACGACAGCCAGCGAACGTGCAGACCGGACCCTGTCACGTGCGCTGCTTTGTTCGCCTCCTTTGTGGAATATGTGATGATGATGATGATTTTTTTCAATGATTTTGCTTCAAATCATGTTGCATATAGAATTGTTATACAGTAGGATCCTACTTACCTGAACCTACACTTGTTTTGATAGATCACCTGGGGCCTGAGGGAATTTTGTTCTCGGTCTCTGCTGCCGCTTAGTGGTAGAAAGAGAGAACTGCAGGCCAGAGGGTGCTATGGGTATTATGATCATTACGATTTCTTTCTGCTTCTCTTATCGTATTCATCAAATACACTTTTGAGTCATTGCTCTATAGGCTTGGTGGCGAATAATTGGGATACATTTTTACAATCGACATGCACCAACTTTCAAAACAATAGTGGCTTTCAAATGTTTCTAAAGGCTCACAATAATGCAAAGCACAGTTGTGACCCCCAGTGGCTAATCCGCGTATTTCAACCTTAATTACTATATTGTATTTGATACACTAACAAGGAAAACACCAGACGGACTGTCAAACGATCAAAGTATATCTATATAATACATCTGAAATAACTAATTTTGTTGTAGACAAAATGTAATCCTATACAGCAACAATAACATATGAGCAACGATGAGTGCTATGTGCGCCTCCTGCCACTGGTGGCGCTGTTCAGAAAAAGGCTAACCGGTTTTAATCAGCCTCGGCTGCTCGTTTTTCCGGTGCCCCCGTCTCCCCCACTCCCTCCCGATGCTAGCACCGTCGGGCTTGGCTGTGGGAGCGTAATGGCGGTGCACCGGGGACCCTCTACGAAATGGCTCTTCACCCGGGAGCAGCTCGAAAACACGCCGTCTCGACGCGGCGGAATAGAGGCCGACCGGGAGCTCTCCTACCGGCAGCAGGCAGCCAACTTGATCCAAGACATAGGCCAGAGACTCAACGTGTATCCTTTCTGAACCGCAGCGGCTAGCCGGCCGACAGACAGGTTAGCTCGAGTTAGCATTAGCTTACAGGAGGGCCGGAATGGCAAGGCTGGTTTCAATTCAGTTTAACTCTATAAACGCACATAAAAGCTCTTGCTGCCACGTAGAGACCTCTCTCCGACAAGACAGGCCATTTAACTGAGCTAACACGGGGTCTTGATTTAGCTAGCCGGAAGCATTCAGGCCTGGTAGCTAGCTTAGCTATTGTTTTGTCTCTTTAGGCTGCATATTCCATTGTTAGCTTTGTGTGTAGTGATATCAGTGACATGATTACTGATGCTGTTTGTACATGTAAGTTAAACCTATCACCACGTTACAAATGCACTATTACGCCTTTGTACGAGTTGAAGCGTATGGATTGATTTTGGGGGTTTTAACCTGCATGTCACACGTTTTGCTAGCTCGATGTTAACGTGTCAAGGTTTTCTTCACCAAACCTGTTAGTCAATGTATTTTTTACTGTATATCCTCCATGTGTTGTGCCTTAACTTACCACCCAGTTCTCAACTAATCATCAACACCGCTATAGTATACATGCACAGGTTTTATATGATCCACTCCTTCAGCAAATTCCATAGAAACGTAAGTACCACTGCAGTGTTGGCTGATGCCATAATTACTGGTGGCACCGGCTGTGAAAACTGAACTGGGTTTTTTTTTCTTCTTCCCCTCTCTAGGTCATTTCTCAGACTACATTGTTCCTGGCAGCTAAAGTTGAGGAGCAGCCCAGAAAGCTGGAGCATGTCATTAAAATAGCCCACGCCTGCATTAACCCACAAGAGCCGGCCGTAGACACTAAGAGCAACGTAAGTCAACTACGACCGAGGATGTCAGGGAGTTTAACCTCGCCTGTGAGGCTTTTGGAGAGAAAAGAAACCGTTAACAGCTGCAATCGGTTAATTGTTGAGTCATTTGTTCAAGCACAAAGGCCAATTTCTCAATAGCAAAGACATTGCTGCTTTAATTTGTCTAATATGACAGTCAAATTAAAATCAGATGGGTTATGGACTGGTTGTTGGGACAAAACAAGCAACAAAAAGACGTCACCTTTGGTTCCTGTAAATGGTTTTCTTCAAATTTGTTGTCGGTAGAGAGGACAAAGATAATTAAGTATTAAGTCCAGCGAACATTTTTCACCACACATATGAGCGTACAGGATTTTTTTTCGCCATTTATTTGACATCCTCAAATTGAAAGGCTCTACTATTGCAGTTAAGCTTTCGTATCATAAAGGTGAAAGGCGCAGTGGTACCCTCTACAAATGTCGGTTCTTTACTTACCTTTACAGATCCGGCTGGCGATGCTTTTATTTTGTAGGAATGCTGATTTCAAATTGTTCATTGAACTTTTCCAGGCATTCCAGCAGCAGACACAAGAGCTTGTAGCACTGGAAACAATAGTGCTGCAAACGCTGGGTGAGTGCTACTAAAGCCAGTTTATTTTGTGTGTTTTTAGTTGCAGCCACTGTCGCATTAATATTTAGTGACTTGTTGTCGCGCTGGCACCGGTGGCTGATCATCTTCCTTCAACATCTTTTATTGCAGGTTTTGAAATAACAATCGATCATCCGCACACAGATGTTGTGAGGTGTTCCCAGCTAGTGCGAGGTAGAGCCTTCTTTCTCACTTTACTTTCCAAGGAACTGTTTTTTTAACAACGCAATGTTGTGCCGTTTAGTTTTTTTTTTCTCTCCAAAGAATTGGCTCGGTTCTAAAATGAACTTTCTCCTTCTTTTACAGCAAGCAAGGACTTGGCACAGACTTCCTATTTCATGGCTACCAACAGGTTATTATCCTGTTCCCATTATTGCACTGTAATGGCACACTATAGCTTCCTGTCCTGCAGGGCCCCCCTTCCTGTGTCCAACGCCCTGTTTGCGGCCTGGGTCCCCGGGAACCCCCCAGCGCGGGGAAGTACCGGGCCTGGCTGCTGTGTGCGGTGTATTGTACAAAGGGCTCCGTGTTGGCACAGAGGGGTCGAATGCACAATGTGGAGTGTAGTGGTGCCGTTTGCCTCTCACGGTTGTTCGGTACGGAGTGCACATGTCTAAAGAAAGAACTCAAATGGTAGCCTGAATATAGATTGCCACTAAAGAGTCTTAAACTTATAGAGTGCTTTGGTAAGTACAGTTTACAGTTGTTTAATTCTTTGTTGCACATTTTTCACCCTAAAAGATCTAACAATGAACCGCCAAACTACACTGCAAACTGAATGCTTGTTCTGTGTGGTGATGCCGTTTTTAATATCTAATCGAGTGCTGTTGTCTTTTTAAAGAGGAAATGTGGCGGCTGTAATGTTTACTAAAATTCGCTCCGTAATGATTCTGACTTTACGCACACACAGCTCTTAGTTTTGATATTATTGTGCTGTTGTTATTTCACTTTTTTGTTTTTACAGAGGCTGCTAGTTTGATATGCAAGTCTGAGAGATTGATGTTCCCAGCAGATGATGGTAGATAGGATCTCTTAATTTGGGGTTATGCACAAAGAATGGAGTCTAGGTGGAAGTGTAGAACTATATTTACCTGAACACAGCCTACTTGTTCGGCATTCCAACACCGTTTAATATCTTTAAATGCAACTCGCACGAACACTAAAACAAAACACGCCGTCGCAATTCCTGTGTTGTAAAACAGCGGCGTTGCACTTGAGACATTGTACTTGCTGAGGGGAAAGTCCCCGTTTAACTTTCAGAGTGATTCTGAGACGCTTTGGTGCACAGGAGCCAGTTTGCAGTGTAGTTTGGGATCCAGGGTGCAGAGAACCTAAAGCCTACTTGTTTGTCTTGGCTATCAACGTCAGTGTTTCTCAGTCTTAATGTTCCCACGTTTGATGTTGTGAAGTGAAAACGCACTACTCCTTTGACACTAATTCAAGTAGTCAGTCGATTTAATTAAGTTTGTTTATTAGTTGTGATTTCCTGGAGTTTACGGCTCATTGAGAGATTTAGAAACACTGTTTTTAATGTTTTAAATTAAAATCAAAACACAATAAATCCACTTTCAATGTATCATATGCACACACACGTGTGTGTTCATATGAATCATATGATCATATGATACATTGAAAGTGGATTTATTGTGTTTTGATTTTAATTTAAAACATTAAAAACAGTGTTCATATGAAGACACACGTGTGTGTGTGTGTGTTCATATGAATCATATGAAGACACACGTGTGTGTGTGTGTGTGCATATGATTCATATGAACACACACACACACACGTGTGTGTTCATATGAATCATATGCACACACACGTGTG